TAACCCTTAGCAAAGGACCCCAGATCCCATACTTCAGGAGCACTATGTCTCACTAAATTCAATATTACTGTTGTACAATTTAGAGTGAAATGTTACATGATTTGGTGGGGTGTGGGAGGTCTGAGATCCTGACTTTGCTTGGGGGCCTCAAAATGGTAAACCCGCCCCTGGTTCCAAGACATTTGGTAAATCCCGACCTGACTATGTTTCACAGCCATATCCAAGATAAAGAGTGTATGGTCACCAAATATACATAAAGTTAGGGTAATATTAAACAGTGATATAAGATCTCTAAGTCATTCATTCCCTGCTCCTCAACTCTCAATCCAAATCCTCTCAATCCCAAATTTTCATCCTCCCACTCATGTACCTCTTCATAAACATCTTCAGTGTTCAATATTAATTAAATCTGACTGCCCTGATCCACTCCTGTTTTCTGATCGACACACCAAAATGAAGGCTGGAGACATTAGAATCGCCTTAAATCCTAGTTCAACTCCTTGACAAGTAACATTCATTACGTAATCAGATTACTTGATGTAACTGCAAGGAAGAAATGGAGTAGTCGAATAAAGTCGTTATTTTTGTATATTTTTCCGCTCAAAAAGTATACTCGTCGCTTGATAAACTTATAGTTGAGCCACTGTTGTCACATGGAATATATGAACATTTTCTTCATTGACTTTCTGGGCCGTCAAGTGTCATTCCCTTAGGAAGCCTATGAGGACTGATCCACCTCTCAAATTTAATCAAAAATATCTTTATTTGCGTTCCGAAGACGAACGAAGGTCTTACGGGGTTGGTACAGAATGTAGGTGAGTAATTAATGACTTTTTGGGTGAAATAACCCTTTAAGGTTTATTATTACAAGAGAATTATTACATATTACAACAGAAAGTGTTAACATTTTTTCCCGATCTGCAATAAACAAATGTCATTTCCACCACATCTCAAAAAACAGCTGTTATGTAAAAATATAACTAATGACACTCAATAATTGTCTATGACTATTTTTTTTTTTTAGTTTTTCAACTATGTACAATAATTAGACATTTGTCACTGAGATAAAAGAAATGCCTCAAGGACCAAACAGGAGAACATTGATGAATAATTAGAAATTATTCATTAAAAATGTGTAAGAAATGACATTTAACTTTAAGGTCCAGAGACTCCAGATGCTGTGTAGACATGATACACTCTTAAAAATAAAGGTTCTTTATTGGTATTCTGGTTCCATGAAGAACCCTTAACATCAATGGAACTTTTTCATTTCACAAAAGATTCTCTATAGTGGAAAAAGGTTCCACTATAAAATGTTTTTTACACCAAGAAAAAAAAAAGGATCTTTTAAAGAACGGATCACTGAAAGGTTCTTTGGGGAACCAAAATGATTCATTCGTTGAAAAAATCTAATGTAGGCCGTCTATAGTGATTTTTAAGCTTTTTTTGATTTGCATGGAGGATTGGATCCAACATTAAAAGAGATCAAATAATTTTTACAATAAAAAAAATAATAATTGGGGAAAGAATCAATTCCTGTTAAGTCGCGGAAGCTTCCTTTCGTTGCTGTGCGACTTCAAGTCCAAATCCAAATAAACGCAGCTGAATTCTCGCGAGAGTTTGCCATGACCCTCCCATACAGACCTCCAGAGATGCGCGTTCACTGCGTATGGCGCGTACAGTGTCCAGCAGGGGGCGCTGCTTTATTTCTCGGGTAGCCCGTGAAGCGCAGTCCCGCAGCAGTACGAGGGGTGCGTTTGATCACTGCACTTCTAAATGGCGGATGAGGAACAAGGGGCTGAAGCTCGAACAATAACACCTTACTTTCCCAGTAAAGCTCGTTATCAGTCCTCTCAGCTTGCCGATGCAAATCCCGCGCGCACAGGCTGCAGTCAGTCATATGTGGCTTTAATAATTGACGAGTTCAGTTGAGGCACGAAAAGATCGCGGATTTTTTGCGGAGCTCCGAAGGAAGTCGATCTCTTCATGGTGGTTGTGATATGGGGGACTCGCTTGGTTTGATCGGGAAGCGGCTGCTTCTGCTGCTCAATGACGGGAGCTCCGCGTCTTCCGCGGGCGTTGGGACGGATCCGGCGGCCTGGCTCCGCGGCACCGTGCGGGCGGTCAGTGTGATCGGGCTGGAGAGCCCGGGGGTGGAGGTGAGACCGACACAACAACAACAACAACACACCGTCAAAACATCAAACAAAACCTGCCCATGCGAATCAACACTGGTGCATTCGACAGTTTAACAGTGCAACACAATGTGACCTGACTTTAGGTTGCGTCCAATTCTGAATTAAGGGAGAGATATGCAGATAGACTTTAAGCGTGTGATGGAGTGCTAGTTAGCTAAGTAGCTAGCTGCATATAAGGGTTGGCTTAAATCCTAGTGAGCCAGTCGCCTGTTTTTGGGAGTCATTGATACTGTCTGGTTAGGTAGTTTACTACATTACTTGGCCCATTGTGATTTAAAATACATTCAGCACGATAAATGCATACGTCATATCGATTAAACATAATTTACTCACAATGAATACAAAGGGAAGGGCCATTGTTTATGTCATATTGCCTTTGTAGTAGTAAGTAGATTGAGCTTTTATTTCTATTTAGAATAAATGGATAAATACTTGAGAAGTCTGAGCTATTTATATTCGCACAGACAAACTTTATTTAAAATAAGATGTTTTTTTTTGTCAGTCATTGGTCTTGGATTAAATTGCATTAGATTCATTTAGTTTGTGGAGTACTAGTACAGAATGAAATGCATGGTCGAGACACTTTTGCACTGGTTTGATTTAATCCTCTTCATTTTTACGTCAGTTAGTGATCGGTTATTTACAGGAATCCGGAAGACGAGCTGATGTTACCTTTTTTGTCCCTTTAAACTTCTACATGCTGTTCTATAATAACAGATTCTCCAGCTGATTTATACAATGAAACTCGGTTAACATATTGCGATAAAAATCCAAAATGTGACATTTTTATATTAATAACATATGATAGATAGAGTTAAACTAGTATCTACATTCATTACTGAATGATTCACATTTTAAACGAATCGGTTGAGTCAACGATTTAATGACCCCTTCGTAAACAACTGCCTTATTCTTGAATAAATTGGCCATTTTAATGAATGACTCAGTGGCTCACTCATTAAGACGGTTCATTTTAGACAGGAAACTACTTTGTGAGTCTTTTTCACTCACCATATTTTAATAATAGCCGTTTTAATCATATTAACAATGCTGAAATATGAGCATTTCTCTTGTTTGTTGCTTATACAGGGGTAACTGAGCCTTACGGTGGGGCTGTTGTGGTACATAGGACAAAACATTTTGGGAGTTTGGAATGTAATTAACACAATATCCATTTCCAACAGATTTCCATTCAGGTCGAGTTCACGTTGAAACTTTCAAGTGTTCTTGTAGAGTGCAGCATTTTACTTCTGCGTTCTGCAAAGATGCCAACCTCCCATCTTCATTGCAGGTGTTCGTGGAGTTTGAGAAGAGCCCTTGCCGGCAGCGCTCATGGGTGCAGATGTACGGGGATGAGGTGCGTGCGGTTCTCGTGGAGAGTGCCATTGTCTGGGTCAACTGCAGTGACCCTTCCCTCTCCCTTCCCCCGGCTCTAGTAGCGGCTGCTACTCAATGGCCAGCCTTGGTGAGTACAGATGCACACTGGGATCTTGGTAATCTTCCCATAATTGGCCATAGTTGACATGAAACATAAGTTGCGCTATGAAACGTATATCCGAGTGAAACGGCTTCTCGAGCAAGAACATATGAAGCACGGGGCTTGATTTTGTCTATGGGGAATTGATTGGATTGTTGTGGTTTGCTATTGGTGGATCTGATGTGAGTGATGGGTTGTCCCGCCCTCACGCCAGTTAACACATCATCAGAGAAGAGAAGAGACGAGGGTTCCAGACTGAGAATGTGCGAGTTAAAATTTTATGTGGTCGCATTTGTGAACAGAACGTCGTTGTATCAGCTGTTTCAGTCCGTGACTTATGTTCAAAATGAACGAGTAGGCTACATCATGAATCCATTTTCTGAACCGTGTTTTTGACTTATCCTGAATCACTACGGTATGCCTATAATAAGTGTTTATATTCGGACTATTTTATCCCGGGTCGACTCGGATGCGGAGTCGTCCAGTGCCATAGACATTTAGGGAGAGAAGCAGCTCCGGCTACAGTGTTCTTCCGCAAGACACGTGCAGTTAATTTACTGATGAACGTAGACGTCACGCGCAGTGCACATTGATGGTGGAACGTGCCAATTACGAATTCACGAATTAAGGCATATAAAAATGAAGCAGCGTGCCCCTTCCTACGTCTTTTCAGCGGTTAGATGAGAGCAATCGCTCGACTGAGGAAAAGGAAATTATTATAAAATGCAGAAGGGAAGGAGTGTGAGATTTCTTATTTTTGTTACAACTATAAACTTTGATAACGAAAAATCTGTATTAGCTTATTATAATACTCTAATCTTTTAAAATGTAATGCATGCATTTGAATGTTTAATGATTTTTAAAAGATAGATAGATGATGCTGATAGATAGATAGATAGATTATGATTCAAATGTAAATAGATTGTATATAATTCAAATGTAAAATGCTTAAAATTACACATTAAAATTACTGTCCAAAATCCTGAAATTTGGCAATGATAATTAATATATTACAGGTGTTTATGCTGCAACCTAGAAAGCCTTTGCTAGCTTTGGTCCATTAAAACCACTATTCAATCCCATGGCATGTAGCAAAAAAAAAAAAATGTCCGACCAAATCAAATCCTGGTGCGACCAACTGAGAAAGTTGGTTGCACCAGTTCAACCAGTGGAAAAGATAGTCTGGAGCCCTGGAAGAGATGTCACTGCAAGTTATTCTGATCAAATATTATGAGGACAGATTCATTTAAAACGCATAATAATGTGCATGGATAAATAATTTATAATAAATACTGCAATATTCCCTTTAAAAAAAATAAAGAATTGTCAATTTTGTTTTCATTTTGACCTTCATACAGGTCGAGAGCTGTTTCCATAGTGTCAGTCATTTTTGTTATTTTGTTTTAGTTATAATTTGATTAGAAAAAGCATTTAGATGTGAAGATATGATTTTTATTCAACCGTACTGGTTTCCCGAACCCACTGGTTGTCTTTTGCCTCTATCTTCAGTTGTTCAAACCGCTGGTTGACCGAGTGGGTTTGGGATCCGTGGTTCCTGTCGAGTTCTTTGGACCAAGAACTTTGTCGTTTTTCCCTAATGGGAATTCACTGCACACATTTGAGGTTGGTGACCAACTAATGCAGAACTTTTGCTCTTAAAAAGTTTAAATGGACCTGGATCAAATGGATTATCTTTCTTTCTTTCTTCAGACTGAAAAAGATATGATACACTCTCTGCTACTAGAGCAGCCAGCGCTTCAAGCTGCCATCAGCAGTTGGCACCGGGACTCTGAGCTACAGGAGATCCTGCGCAAAGGTCAGTTGCGTTTACCTATAAATAAACGAACTCTGTAGATGTGCTTGAGTAAACTTACCTGTGCAAAGCCTGAAATGAAGTCAAGTCATGCTATATATAAAGGGTTAGTTTAGCCCAAAATAATAATTCTGTCATTTAATCCTCCCGTTCATCTTCGAAACACAAGTCTTTGACACGTCAAAACATTCATAAAGAGATTGTAAAATAAATCCATATGTATCAAGCAATTCAGTTATAAGTCTTCTGAAGGGATTTGGCTGATTTATATGATGAACAGATTGAATGTTGGCTTTTATTCACATAAAAACATTGATCAGCGAACATAAATGTACTTGGTTCTTGCTCATCCATCAACCCATGCTTGAGCTTCTGCTTACCAAAATGAAATGCTGTAAACATAGTTTGCTGACACATGTTGATATGTCAATAAAAGCCTAAATTCAGTCTGTTCATCCTATAAAGTGATTGTGTCTCTTTAAAAGACTTTGGACTAAACCACTTGACGCGTATTTTATGATCTCTTTCTGAATGAGTTTTGGGTGAATGGAATTTCAGTGGAGGGAATAAAATCTCTCAGATTTTTTTTTTTTTTTTTTTTTTAGAAATATCTCCATTTGTGTTTTAAAGAGGAACAAAACAACATGAGAGTCCGTAAATTATGACAGCATTTTTATTTTAGGGTTAACTATCGTTTTAAGCTGATAGTATAAGCTTTATTTTTTTCTGTCTTGTACAGGATCTTATACTATTCAGGGTCGGAGAGTACAGGTGTACCAGCCGGAGTTTGGGGAGCCCTGGGCCCTGGGCCTCGTATCTCAGCATGATCCTGTTTCACACATTATGGAGATTACCATGGACCAGGTACGTGTGCAAGTCTGTTTAGAAACTAATGCCGTAACCAAAGCTGATTTTAGTGTGTTGGCTTAATGTGTCAATCATGGTTTATCAACGCAGTGTGAGGAGACACAAGTGGTCGATCCGCGGGTTATTCACGTGATGCTTGCTGCGGAACAATCAGATGAGGTATGGTAGATTTCTGTCACTGCTGGTGTCGATTATTGTTCCAAAGAAATCGCTTTTTATCAAATTGTTTTTAGTTATATATTTTTTTTACTTGCACCAGAAAGAATTTATTAAATGTTAATTTTGATTTGCGTAAAAAATATTTAAAAAATTGTCAATTATAGTTGGAAATTATACTTGTTTAGGAGTCTTTTGGAGAATAAAATTGCATTCATTTTTTTTTATGCATTTACAATATAAAATCGTTCTCAGAAAGTCATTTAAATTCTGAATATTGTATACACACTAATCAAAAGTTTGGACTCAGTTAAGGTAAAAATTTATCAAAAGTTACTGTAAAACATTTATTATATATATATATACGGTATATATATATTACAGCTGTGCAAAGATTACAAATGGTAAAATGGTACCGTATTTTCCGCACTATAAGGTGCACCTGATTATAAGGCGCACCTTCAATGAATGACCTATCGGTTTGCGGGCTAATTTAATAACGCGGAACGTTGTTAACCAATTGATCCATATATAAGACGCTCCAGATTATAAGGCGCATTTTGATTTTTTTTAGAAAAATAAAGGCTTTTAAGTGCGCCTTATAGTGCGGAAAATACGGTAAATGGACTGCATTTATATAGCGCTTTCGTCATATATATATATATATATATATAGACCCAATGGCCACCAAAGCACTACACATTCACCCATTCACACACTCATTAATTGAGATTAATCACATCCAAAATAAAAGTTTGTGTTTACATGTGTATAATTATTTTGTATATATAAATACATATGCATGCATGTATATATTTAAGGAATTATTTGCATGTAAATACTGTGTGTGTATATATATATATGTATGTGTATATTTAGATAAATATGTTATATATATAAATATGTTATATATGAATAACACATTTTCTTAAATATATACATGCATGTGTGTGTATGTATATATACAAAATAATTATACACATGTAAACACAAACTTTTATTTTGGATGCGATTAATCGCAATTAATCCTCGCACAGCCCTTATATATATATATATATATATATATATATATATATATCACTGTTCACATTTGAGGTTGTTGAATATATATATATATATATATATATATATATATTTCAAATAAATGATGCTTTGAACTATTCCAGAAACAATTTCCACAAAACATGAAGCAGTACAACTGTGTTCAACATTAATGATTATAAAAAAAATTTGTAATGATGCTTGAAAGACAGGAATAAATTACATTTTTTTTAAATATATTTAAAAATAAAGGTAGCCTTGGTGAACATGAAGGTAGCCTTGGTGAACTCTGTAATTGATGTGTATGAACTTCGTAATTGATCTTGTGCCTGGGTCATTCTACCATATCTCTTTTAGAGCCAAGATAGACGCAAGAAGGAGAGTGATGGTGGGAAAGGTGAGGGCAGTCGGCGGCGCCGGACGGCATCTGAAGGAAATGAAGACATTACTCTCAAACGTTTCAAAGGAGCCGGGGAGGGTGCCTCTGACAGCCAGAATGGGAATGGCTCCAACAAGGACGCTGGGGCTATGGTAACACACGTAGAGATGCCGGTAGATTTAGTAGTGGAGAGAAAAGACGGAGGGGGTGGCGTAGGTGGGAGGGTGTCGAGCACCTGTAGTCCAGTAGCTTTCCCAAACCAAGACTCCTCTAACAACACCAATTCCTCTCAGCAGGATCACTCCCACATTAGGAGCACAAGTTTTGTCAAGGAGAATGGCAGTTTTGTCCCAAACCAAGAACGGATATCTTCAATGTCAGCGGTGCTTCCTGCGTCCACTCCAACACCACCTCCATTGAAGCCTGCCCCATCGCCTTTTTCTAACACTTTTCCTTCTTTGGGGCAAATGCCCAGTTTGGTGCCCGGGGCGCCTGCCCCCAAGTCATCTCCCACACTCCCATTATCTGAGAGGGACGAGGGAGGTGTCCTTTCAGGGTATCCTAAAACAGCTGCCCTGGTGTCTCCAGGTCCTGTGACCATTTCGTCACCTTCCCAAGACAATGCTTCAAGTGTGGCTCTTTCTGTTCCTGCAGACGCAAACCAAAAGCCCAGTATGTGGGGATCAACCCCAGAAGCAAGCCAGGTAGGAAATTATGTTCGTTTTTTCCTTTCGGATCTATTCATTAATTTGAAAATACATAAAAAATGTAAAAAAAAAAAGTGAAAAAAGTCCCCAAAATGTAATATTATGATTTAATAGACATTTGATGGTGAAAAATATTTAAAACATCTTTAGATTTATTTGAATAGGAATGTTTAAAACCATATAAAGTCAACATGAATAAACAATTGCCATTGCCAAAAATTAGCTTTTTTATAATTTAATAATTGTGCTTTTGTAATTTTTATTAGTTTGTTTTCTGTTTAACTATTTTATAATAGTTTTTTGTGTATTTTCTTTCAGTTTTAGTCATTTTACTACTTCAACTTATTTCAGTTAATTGCCAAGACATCATTTATAACTTAAGTTTTTAAGTTTTCATATTAAAGGGATAGTTTACCGCAAAATTTCAATTCTGTCATTAATTACTGACCCTCATGTCGTTTCAAACCCATAAGACTTTTATTCTTCTTTGGAACAAAATTGAAGATATTTTTAATGAAATGGAGGGACAGAAACCCCATTTCATTAAAAATAACTTAAAGGGATAGTTCACTTTGAAATTAATTTTTGATATGTTTTAGCTTACCTCAAGGGCATCCAAGATGTAGGTGTATTTGTTTCCACAGTATTTTCAATTTCAAATAAACCGTTCTTGTCTGTCAGTCATATAATGGAGGTCTATGGTCACCACCTCAAAAAGCATGCACAGAGAAGTCCAAATTAAGCATGATTTAATGACTCGTAAATGTAAGTACACATTGATGGCCTAAGACACAAAACGAGCGGTTTGTGTGAGAAAACGAACAGTATTTATATCGTTTTATGTCTTGTAATCACAGTCACGTCCAAGTAATCTGAGGGCACGGGCGCTTCTATTTGCGCAAGCGCCGGAAAGCGCCGCAAGTGATCTCTCGCGCGTGTAAGTCACTCATTTTTTACACACAGATTTCAGAAGTGTTATCCTTTACTGTGAAGATCTAAACATATTTAAATAGACAGGAAATTGCAATGGAAGACGATTTCGATATATAAACAGACAACGGTGATTTTTTTTTTTTCTTCGTAACCACGCAAGAGATTGCTTGCGCAGATAGAAGCGCCCGTGCCTTCAGATCACTTGGACGTGACTGTGGTTACAAGAGTTAAAAACGATATAAATACTGTTCGTTTTCTCACACAAACCGCTCGTTTCGTGTCTTAGGCCATCAATGTGTACTTGCATTTATGAGTCATTAAATCATGTTTAATTTGGACTTCTCTGTGCATGCTCTTTGAGGTGGTGACCATAGACCTCCATTATATGACAGATAGACAAAAACGGTTTGACCTAAAAATATCAAAATTGAAAATACTGTGGAAACAAAGACATCTACATCTTGGATGCCCTTGAGGTAAGCTAAAACATACCAAAAATTTATTTCAAAGTGAACTATCCCTTTAATTTGTGTTCCGAAGTCTTGCGGGTTTGGAACAACACGAGGGTGAGTAAATGATGACAGAATTTTGGGGTGAACTAACCCTTTTTAAGTTTTATTTCAAATATTGAATTTTAGTTTTACTTAATATCAACACTAGTTTTTAACAAGATTTGTCTTTCTTCCTGTCGACTCTTATTAGTCTTTGACCCTCACCTATTAATGGCTTATTTATATTTCAGACCCCCAAGACCCTTGCTCTGGCTGCTGCAGTATTTGGTAAACCATCAAGTGAGTTTGGAGATGTTCCCACACAGACAAATGGTTCTTCCCAGGAGGACAAGCCTTTTGGCTTTCCCTTTGGATCTGCGAAGGAACCCCAGAGGCAGAACGCTGATCCCTCACAGAACCTGTTCTTTCAATGCATGTCTCAGAACCAGAGTATCACACAAGGCCAGGCAAAGGCCTTCACATCCTTGTCCGAGTGCCTGAACAAGGAGCCACCTAGCCTGTTCAAGCCTTCCGAGGGTTTCAGAAAGGCGGTTGTGGCTTCTGCATCTGCTGGACTGTTTGGTTCAGCTCCTGCCAGTGGCCTGACGCCACTGAAAGAGCAGCCAAAAGTGCCTGATATCAAGCCTGCAGGCAATGGGCTGATGAGCAAGCCTTTTGGAGGGGTTGTGGAGGCACACGGAAAACTCCCAGCCACTTTCCCCTCAGCCATCTGTCAAGCTGCGAGCTCTGCGGAGGTGCTGAAACCCTCTTTGGGATTAGGAACCAGTGGACTTGGAAGTTCCAGTGGTGGGATTAGAAATGTTAACAGCTCGAGGCCAGGCAGCGGCTTCGGTTTGCTTGCTGGCAACAAGGTTCCAGAAACTCACGAGAACCTGTTCCTACAGGCGTCCAAGGAGACGAATCCATTTCTCGCTTATGGTGGAGCTGTTTCGCACAGCCCTTTCAGTTCCTTGTCAACTCCAAAGTCGTCCTCTTCCGTGTCCGCATCTGCTGTTTCACCTTCAGGCAGCTCCAGTGTACTTAGTCAAGATCCTCCTGGGAATGAGGCCAAACCAAATCTGTTCACCATGGCAGAACCTCCTAAGGGAATCTTAACTCCCCAGTTCGCCACTCCTGCTCTCATGACCACTCCGTCATTCACTTCGGTAGCCCAGGATGGACAACAAACGTCCAAAGCAAGCAAAGAGGGTTCGGATGTCAGCACGGGATCCCGCCTCTCCACTGAAGGCCAAGGTGTCTCTATCCCCTTCGACCAAACCAAGTTTTCTTTGGAGGAACGCGGTCAGTCCACCAAAAGGGATTCAGAGTCCAGTAGCAACAGTGACCTGTCTGATTTGAGTGAGGCGGAGGACAACTCGAGCCAGAAACCTGGGGTTTCTGCAGCCAATGAGGATAAGAATAAGACCCTGCCTGCGCCGAAGAGCCGGCCGCGGAACAAACCCTTTAAAGGTAACATGCTGTGTAATTCATAAATTAGTTCACCCTAAAATTAAAATTACGCCATCATTGACTCCTCCCTGATTTCTCGAATCAATGAAAGTCAAGGGGTCCAGTGTTGTTTTGGACCTTAATGACTTTCATTGTATGGATAAAAACAGTTTAAATTTTCTTTTGATTCATGCCTTATGAGTTTTGACTCAAAGCATTTTTGTGCAATATGTTGTTGTGGTCATTCAATGTATATATTGGTCGGTATTTGACACTGACTTATCGGCCAATGCCGATAACTTTCAGTTTGGCTGATATTTCAGAAGCAAGATGTTTATTTTGACAGCTCTGAGAACTGATATCAGTGTGTGAGCGTGGGGGCTCCTGTGCGTCTATTTTTTGCATAGAGTGGTGCAGTGAGGACATTTTTGTAGGCTAACCCGTAAGTTAGCATTGCCCTTGTTACCTCGACAAAAGCCCTGTAGGATTTTTCCATTAGATTTTGTATTATTGCAGAAAATAAGCTGTGACTAACAAAAGTTTATGATTCTTTCTTACACGGTTTTTTCATTATGATCAATTTTACAAATTAACAAAAAATTTTATGAATCGTAAATCTTAAAAACTATCGGCAGAAGTAAAAGGCTAAAAGTAGGCTATAAACAAACTACACCACCATCGCATGACTTCAACATCGCCATCACTAAGCTTCCGACAACTCTTTATTAAAGAACAGTTTCCCTGAAAGATTGAGTTAGAATAGTTTGATTATAAGCACATTGAGGCACACACTCAGTTCTCCGACTCAGACACTCAGTCTAGATGTATTTTTTCAGTGTTATTTGTTCAAATATTCCTCTTAAAAAATAAAAAGTATCAGGCAGCTGTATGTGAAGAAGTGACCCACATTTGGGGCCAATCCCAATTCTACCCCTTACCCCTTCCCTTTCCCCTAGCCCTACCCCTTCGCCTTCCCCTTGACCCTTGAAACAGAGTGGCAATGCGTAGGGGTGAAAATATTCCCCTAAGAAATGGGACACCACTACGCCTCCGTTAAACGTCAATATAAGTCGTCGCTAGCGCCTACGTCACAGGAGATGCGCCGATGTTTATCACAACTTCCAAGATGCCGTCGACAGCTGCAGTTATCTCAGTCGCATGGGTTACAGCTATTTTCTTGCATCTTGTGAAGTTCGCAGGAAACAACGGAGACGACGAAAATATGTTGCGGGACTATCGTTAGCAAACTACAGTAATTTTAGCGATTTTTTTTTTTTTACAAACGTTTCTGTGAAGAAACTGACCGTAAATATGAACACAATATTGAATGTAACATAAAGCAAATCATTATTTGTCGTTATAATACTTATTAAAGCCACAAATACTTAAATTTATGGGTCTCCTTTGTCGCTTGGGCAGCCAGCCCTGGGTTAGCAGTGACGCTTCTCATACCCCTTCGTTTGAAGTGTGCTCCCGAAAAATCTTCGTTTGAAGGGCTATCTGGCCCTTCACCCTAGCCCTCCCCCTCCAACCAAAAGAGAATTGGGACAGCCCTACCCCTTCACGTGGACGCGCAAAACGGAGGGGAAGGGGAAAGTGAAGGGGTAAGGGGTAGAATTGGGATTGGCCCTTGGTTTTGGACCTCTGAATATGTGTACAGTTTACTCATGGAGTCGCATTAAAATCTCTGGGATTGAGCCATATCGGGCCTTTAAAATGAAGATATCAAAATAAATGTTTGTTAAAGGAACACTCCAACTTTTTGGGACTTTAGCTTATTCACCGTATCCCCAGAGTTAGATATGTCCATACATACCTGTTTTATCTCCGTGCGTGCTGTAACTGCAGGTACTGCGGTAATCACTCCGCCCAAGTAGCAGTGCTTCGCCTTCTGAGAATATAGTTCCCAATATTATTACGGTTAAAAGATGGCTGTGTCTCATATGACCTTGTTATTTGTACACTCTGTGACTATACAAATCACAACATGTAAATAGGAAAATGTTTGCATTATTTTGTCACTTATTTGGGATTAGTATGCTAGCTGCAACCATTTACATCCATTCTTTGTGCTAAGCTAGGCTAGCGGTGGGTACGTCAGACAGAGTTACAGCACGCATGGAGATGAAAAAGGTATGTATGGACTTATCTAACTCTGGGGGATATAGTGAATAAGCCAAAGTCCCAAAAAAGTCAGAGTGTTCCTTTAAAAACCAAAATATAATAGAATGTTAAGAAATCTTCAATACTTCATAAATTACAGGCTTAAATTACAACACAAGAAGTGCTTTTTTCCATTTTTGAAATGTCACTGATTTCTAAAGTAAATGGATTTAACTAATAAACCTACCAATCTCTTTGTGAAAACAAAATGATGATGCGGCCATCTTTCTACAGTCATTTTTACCACCCGTAATTTGGCTCCAAATCTCATATGAAAATTGTCATTTTGATCCCCCTCTACACAATAATGGATTACTCAGTCAATATACATCCATTACATTTAATATTTTGGCTTTCATCACTATTTATGTTTGTCTTGACATAGATTGACCCTTGTTACAGACCTTATTTCAGGCATTTAACCAAAAACCCATTGACTTTTTTTATGATAGAACCGGAAGTGATATAAACTTTCCTGGGTTTTGGCCCTCAAAAATGTCATCCCTGCAGAACTATTCATTAGTTCACCGTCTTTGTTTAACAGTTATGTCCATTGACCAACTTGCTTTCTAAGATATCAGTATCATCATCATCACCATCAAAAAATCCACAACGGTCGGCCGCTAAGCAGTAGTTCACATTGATAGATCAGTCAGCATTCACGGTCACCTGATTTTGAGTTTTTGTGTGAACATTTATCTAGTGGGACAGTCCGTGTTGAAGGACCAGAGTAAGGTTCGGCGCTTGAAGCAGTCCGGAGAGTCCTTCCTGCAAGACGGCTCTTGCATTAACGTGGCTCCCCACCTGCACAAATGCCGCGAGTGCCGTCTGGAGCGCTACCGGAAATCCCGCGAGCAGGACTCGGATGATGATGACCCAAACGTGGCCTGCCGATTCTTCCACTTTCGCAGGTGAATAAGATTCAGAGAACTTCTGGTACGACTAGCTTAACTCTTGCCTAAGGTACGACTCTGACATCTTGACTTGTGTTGTAACAGGCTGGCTTTCACTAAGAAGGGAATCCTTCGTGTGGAAGGTTTCCTGAGCCCGCAGCAGAGCGACAGCATGGCAATGGGGCTGTGGCTGCCCTCCATCGCGGTACATGAAGGACTTGACCTGGACACGTCCAAATATATTTTAGCAAACGTGGGTGACCAGTTTTGCCAATTGGTCATGTCAGAGAAAGAAGCTATGATGATGGTAGAGCCCCATCGTAAGTAACTGTGTTAATGTTTCACACATTAAACTTCACACTGATCAACTTATCTGAATAAATCATAAGAAAGTATCACATAAAACCAAACACTATTTGTACATATACAAGTAGTTCTTAAAGTTCACCCAAAAATGAAAGCTCATGATGTCATCATTTTCTCACCCTCATGTCGTTACACACCTGAATGAGTTTCTTTGTTCTGTTAAGCATAAAATACATTTTGAAGAATGTTGGTTTTTGGTGGCCATTGACTTTTTTTTCCTACTATGGAAGTCAATGAGGAACAGCAACTGTCTGATTACCAACATTCATCAAAATGTGGTGTTTCATGTTCAAAAGACGAAAGAAACTCATACAGGTTTGGCACAACATGAGGGTGAGTAACTGATGACAAAATTTTCATTATTGGGTGAGTCATCCAAATCAGAATAAAAACAAAAAAAGTAAGAATTTTCCTTTAATACATTTCAAGATTCCACTTGGTTATATTCTTCGTTTCACATTGGAATTACGCATTTTAAAGTTGTGTTTAAAAATTTGGACACATGAATGAATTGCTGTTTTTGTTATTTTGTTTTGCACAACAATGTCATTGTTGTGACATTTCAGTCTTCATTCATGGAATATAAGCAGAACAAATTATTCATAAAAAAGTGGCTTTAAGTACTATGTACTTACATTGAAAAGAATAATTTGATAAAATGGACTTATTGTGTACATGCATGTTTTTACATTGTACTTATATTTTAAAAATACCAGCATGTAATTACAGCTGTAACTAATAGAGCCAGACCGATATATCGGCTGGCCGATATTATCGGCCGATATTAGCCATTTTCCGAACTATCGGTATCGACAAATGCCGATAAATGAATATTTCAAAAATAAAATAGAAACGGACGAAACATGCTTGAACCATGTCATGAGTGTTGGAGTTGTGTAGTTTGTCCACCAGAGGGCACTCTCTGTTGGTCTGTTCTGTTGTGACAATAAAAGAACAAGTTTCTTTTTAAAATGTGTTATCATATTATTTTAGTTAAAACTCATAAATAACTAATGTTAGGGAAATCTGTTAATGTTTTGTTACGCGTTTCAGAAAAAAAAAGGAAAAAAAATATCGGCCGATATATCGGAATATTTGATTTTAAAACCAGCAAATATTTGTATCGGTATCGGCCTTCAAAATCCTTATAATTAAGTACATTGTACTTATTTTTCAATGTAAGAACATAGTAATTAAAGCCACTTAATATAAAGTTGGACCAAAATGTATTACACAATCTACTCAAGTTTTATGAATAAGGCCCAATGTAAAGGGGTTTGGGCACTTTTCCATGTGTTGTTTTGTCAACAATAAACATAATATAATAATAATTTTTGTTTATCCAGCCTAAGTGTATTAGGACCTCAAGGTTACTTATTTTAGTGTGAACACTTTAGGACTTAATAGTTGAGATTGTTACTAAAATAAAGCTAGCAATGGAAATAAAATAAAAAACCCAGTTCTTTTAACTAAAATAAAATATCTTTTTATATATAACATTGGTCTTATTATAAATGACACAAAGATATGAAGAAAACTAAAATAAAAAACAACAAAAAAGAAAAGCTAGTGACTATTTTAAAACTCTATTAAGGACTTGTATAAAATCTGATAACCATTTGTGACTTTGCAGAAAAAGTGGCATGGAAGCGAGCTGTGAGGGGAGTGAGAGAAATGTGCGATGTGTGTGAAACTACGCTGTTCAACATCCACTGGGTGTGTCGCAAATGCGGCTTCGGTGTTTGTCTTGACTGCTACCGGCTACGCAAGAACAGGCCACCTGAAGGTAGACCTGCAACAAGAATGACTTGCCAAACGCTCATTTTGTTTGTATCATGGACATCCATTACAGCTTGTCTCCACTCTTTCAGTAGAAGACAGTCCTGAAGAAGAGGTGTTCTCATGGCTGAAGTGTGCTAAAGGACAGCCACATGAACCACAGAACCTCATGCCCACTCAAATCATACCCGGCACAGGTTCGTGCATTTGTTCCTATTAAATATATGTAGATCTAAAATAAAGTGAAATCACGGTAACTGAAGCCATGGGCACATTTATACTTTCTCCTTGTACCCATTTAGCCTTGTACAGCATAGGTGACATGGTACACTCAGCCAGAGGTAAATGGGGGATCAAAGCGAACTGTCCCTGCATTAGTCGACATAACAAACCCTTGGTGCGGCCCAGTGCTCCAAATGGCCTTTCACAGGCAAGTTGTCTTTTTGATACCTTTTGAAAAAAGGTATTTAGTCTCTTCTTGCAATATCTCATCTTTTATCTCTTTAATTGGTGCAGTCGAGTACAGCTCACACTTCGGGGAATGGAGCCAGCACCACTTCAGCCACAATCCGGCCCAATGGGGAATCTCCAGCAGGTGTAGTGGTCAAAACAGAATCTGAAGAGGCGAGCAGTGCTGACACAACATCAAGCACGAGTGGGACAAACAGCAGCGCGTCTAGCCCTCCTGCTCCCCCGACACCAGCCGCAAAAGATAGCAAGGCCAGTTCCTCAGCCCTGCACTGGCTGGCTGATCTGGCCACGCAAAAGGAGCCTAAAGGTGAGACAATGTGGAGGCACTTTATAACAGTGGTTCTAGCACTTTATTTTACAGTCCTGTTCACCCTGTACATACACTGTACTTATTACAGTAATTACAATAACTAGGTACTAACTAGGGCTGCAGCTATCGATTCTTTTTGTAATCGATTAATCTAGCACTTAATCGATCGATTAATCGAGTAATCGGATCATTTGCTAGAGGTATTTATTCCAACTCCAACATTTGGCTCCAAAACTAAGCCTATTTATTGCATTTTTTTTACCCATTTAGTGTTTATAAGTGCCAGTGCCAACAATTATATAACAATACAGTTAAATCAATTTACTGTTAAACATGTAGCCCATAACATGTAAAACTTTGAATACAAACTTAAATAGTAAAGGCCATTTGGCCTTAGTTTTGTCTTCTTAATACAACATTACAAAAAAAGGATTGCACCTTCTGCAAATTACCCACCTGAAAACAAAAATAAATTAAAATAAAACATCAAGCCAAACAGGTACACAAATGTATACAATTCATAAAAAAAATGTAAATAAAACAATTATAAATAAGAATCAGACTTTTTCAACTGTAATCTCAAGACAAACATCAAAATATACCTAGCTGAGAGTGTGTGTGTCTGTGTGTGTCACGATATTTGTTCCTCCATCACGTCCCGCTGTATACAGTGAATGTATGCTGAAATTTTTGTTGCGTGGCTACATAAAGTTTAAGCATATGATGAATTGGTCTGACTGGCGCGTGAGAGAGACAAGGGTGCAGGCGCAAGGTCTCTCGCGGTTAGGAGTTCAACATCTCGCATGCACTAGATTACAGGATATTTTAACTTGCGAATTAATATGCGGCGGTAAAACTAGTCGATCATGAGTGGCTCAACAGGTAGATTTAATAGACGAACTCATCTTTCAGGCATTTGACCGAAGGGATTGACACTTCAGTGTGAGAAATGGCTCAATTGCTCGAGTTGAATGCGTGAGAGTTGCCAGGTATACTTTGCAGTAGTGTTCTCTTCCTTTTTAAATATATAATGATCCCAAACTTTAGACATACTATGCCGTTTATGAGGTCACATGAAGTCAAATGAATCATGCGCTATGGTGTGCTTCCTGAACAACAGTTCGTGTGAAACAATCAGATCCCAGCGTGCGCGTATAGGAATTGAATGAGGCTTCGAAGCAGGTTTTTTTGCCTCGGAATTTTTATGATCAAGTACTAACTAGTACTAACCCTGAACCTTCACCTAACTTACTACATACAAAAGGAATGAATCTTTTGAATTCGCAGGTGAATCTTTGCAATGGCTCTGTGCAGATACCATGTGCTCAGGCTCTCCCTCTTGCTTGATCATTTTTCAGAGTCTCTGCGATCCATGATGGGTCGTGACCCTCGCACTCCGTTTGGCCTGGACTCCTTCAGCACCCTTCCCAAACCCTCGGGGTCAAACCCCAAGCTCTTCAATAGCCTGCTCCTGGGTGCTGGGCCATCCCAACCCAAAGCAGAGGGTACTAGCCTCCGAGATCTGCTGAACTATGGCCCTGGAAAGCTCCCTCAAGGTCCCGCAGAGGGAGGAGTCCCCTTCCCTTCAGTGTTCTCCACTGCTGGTGTACGTATCAGCGCTTTAATTTGCATTTTCATTATTTTTTGAGATTTTTATTAATATAGTTTTGTCTTTTCCCTCCTTAGCAGGCTGATAAAATGAAGGGAGGTCTTCCTAATTTCCTGGATCATATCATTGCGTCAGTAGTAGAGACAAAGAAGGCTGAGGGTCGGCGTGTGTCGGGGTCAGCAGAAGGCGGCGAGTCTGGGACTGTTCCTCGCAGAGAGGGGATGATGGGCCTCAACGTACTCGACCCCCACACCTCCCACTCCTGGCTGTGTGATGGCCGTTTACTCTGCCTGCAGGACCCCAGCAACAGCAACAACTGGAAGATCTTCAGAGAGTGCTGGAAACAAGGACAGGTGAGGCCTGACGGTCAAATGGAAGGACTTTTGTTTTATCAGTTGTGTTCTGATAACACTTTTTTGTTTTTGTTTAGCCTGTGCTGGTTTCGGGCATACACAGGAGACTGAAGGGTAACTTATGGAAGCCTGAGGCTTTCAGCCTGGAGTTTGGTGACCAGGATGTAGACCTGGTCAACTGTAGGAACTGCGCCATCATCTCTGATGTCAAAGTCCGAGACTTTTGGGATGGCTTCCAGGTTATTTCTAGTGAGTACAGACGCTTTGACATCTCTAGACTTTAAAACAGTTTAATTGATTGTTAACATCCCTAACTATGGTCCCTAATACCCTTAACTATTTCATGGTCACCCGTTAACCTTAAAACCACTTTAACCTGGCGGTCTATTGTATTCTCCTTTTCTAGAACGGCTACAAGGTGCAGATGGCCAACCTATGGTACTAAAACTCAAGGACTGGCCTCCTGGAGAAGATTTTAGGGACATGATGCCCACTCGGTAGGTTTGGCTTCTTGGTATCTTCATCTGTGCTTTATCTAACTAGGAGCAGCCAGTTGTGTTTAGCAGTTTTTATGATTTGGCTTATTTATGTTCTCGCAGATTTGATGATCTCATGGACAACCTTCCTCTGCCAGAGTACACAAAAAGAGACGGACGTCTCAACCTGGCTTCTCGTCTTCCTAACTTCTTCGTTCGGCCAGATCTGGGCCCTAAAATGTACAATGCCTATGGTAAGGGATCTTCATTAAAGCACTCAAGTACTCAAGAGGATAGCATTGGAATTTTGTTAAGCTCTTTCCTTCGCCGTGTCTCTCTCAGGTCTGATCTCCACAGAAGACAGGAAGGTTGGCACCACTAATCTGCATCTGGACGTATCCGATGCAGTTAATGTAATGGTGTATGTGGGCGTCCCAGAAGGAGAAAGTGAACAAGAAAAGGGTAAGCATTAAGCTTATTATATTTTGTCTTATTTGCAAGTGTTATCACCAATAATGGTTTAAATTTTCATTGAAATACCAAAAATGTAAAATCCACAAGCGGTTTAATCACCCTGAAAACACGTCCTGTCCTTAAAGGGTTAGTTTAACCAAAAATGGAAATTGTCATTTGTTTACGACCCATATGTTATTCTGACGAAATACGAAAGGAGAGGCAGAATTTGATGTCACTTTCATTGCGTCTTTTTCCTCATGAAGTGAACGTTGAATTGATCATTCTGTCTAACAAATTATTTTGGGTTTTGTGGAATAATGAAAGTTTTGGAATGATTATAGTAAGTACATTTTTAGGTGAACTGTCCTTTTAGGCATAAGCTTAGAGAATCTACCCGTAGATTAAATATTTAGATGCTGTATATCACAGATGTTATTTCCGGTATACAAATTTTCCTGCCATTTTGAATTGACATGTATCATCTAGGGACCCTCATGGCAAAATGTTGTCAAAAGAATTACGATCAGTGATTTATGCTCACGATGGGACACCATTCGAAGTAGGCAGGGCCACTTTCACTACAATGGCTGTAACTCTTGAAAGTATTGAAATATTTTCACCAAATGTGTTTTGTTCATTCTGTGGTCACACAAAAAAATCTGCTGTGATTCACCACTTGGTGGCGCTGTAATACAAAAACGGAATAAAACAGCTATAACTACGCAACCCGTTAGTCCGATTGACTTGAAAATTGGCATGCAGTGTCTTTGTCCAGGGTGCCATCCTTTTGTACGAGGACATTGGCGTATCTTGAAAAACATGGCGCCAGTAGCCAGTGAAGTTTGGGCACTCATCACCCTTAGAAGTCTGTCAGAATTTAAGAAATCAGCCACTAGATGGCGCTAACGAGTCTGTAATCACGTGGCGTTTTTCACATCCACACAATATGCATATCATTTGATAGATTTCCTCATATTGAACAACTTTGCTTCAAGAGCCACTGTTGTCAATCAAAACATTTGTTAAATATTTGAGATTATTTGAAAACTCCTCATAGGGCGTTTGTCCGATTTGCGTGAAACTTCGCATGCATCATCAAGGGACCCTCATGGCAAAAGTTGTCAAATGAATTTCGATCAATGAAATAGTTTAGCAGATATATTTAAAAAATATATATAGTTCTTGTATTGCCCATTGTGAGTAGCATGTCTATATATTGTGTGCACAAAGTAGAAACTTCACAAAGCAGTGTAGATACGGAGAACCAACTGATTTTGAAGGAACATGCCAGGTTTTAAGGATTTCTGATACTCGGAGGGCTCACAGTACATTCTATTAAACATTTCAACTGAAGATGAAGCCTTTAATACTACTTTAATCTAATCTTTATCATTATCCAGCATTGGCTGATAAACAAATGTTTATGGGTGCACTGACACTATAAATTTCCATCATGGATAATTTATGGTTTCAGGCCTACATTTCGGTTCGGCCTAGATCCCAACAGCATAGTTGGCATGAAGGTCTTAAATGCTTGAACCCCGTTAATTGCTGCTTGCAGCTATATTTAAATATAGCATCTGCTCTGACAGAGGTCTCTCATAGTAAAATCTGTGCAGATTATGAGCAATTGTAGCACCTTTATAGCATCCAAACCACTCACAGGCCAGTGGACAGGATGCAGTCAGGGCCTTTAGGACGGCCTGTGCTCTTGGGGTCTTACTATTTTTGATTGTGGCACCATTTCTCATTTACAGAAGCAGACCTCGCTGGATTTAAAGGTCTGTGCATTTTTTTAATTTGTCTCAACTCAGGCATGTCCTTCCCACTTTTCTCGCTCTCTCTTATTCTACACTCCCATTGCTTTAACCCCATCTCTTACTACTCTATACATTAAATTATGTATTATTGTTGATGGGTTTTTTTTTTATTTTTTTTTATAAAACTCCAATATATGGGTAATAATTATGGACAATGCACCTCTCAGTGCATCATTTTGTACTCCATTCAGAATGTCCCTGGACACCAAAACATAGTGACTGTAGTGTTTTGTTTTGTTGTTGTTGTTACATTTCTCTGTGTTACCGCCCCTTCAGACCACTTGATTGAGTTATGTTTTTAAAGGGGTCATTTAAAAAGAAAACCACAATATCCTTCGGTCTTTTCAAGAAGGAGTTTTGTGTACAATGGCATTTTACTTTCAGGAATCAAAATGTTTTTTGAAGGAATAGTTGACCCAAAAATTAAAACTCAATGTCCTTCTAGTTCAGCTGTGCAACACAAAAGGAGATTTTTTTCAAAGACTCTTTATGCCACTCTACAACAGTTGTTCACAGTAATATGTAATAGTATAGAGCAGTTTTTCCCAACCCTGTTCGTGGAGGCACACCAATGCTGCGTCCCAATTAGCCCCGTATTCCTGTTTATCCTGTCACCGTTTAAACTGCATGTCAATCATTGTCACAGTTAAAATCCTCCACGTTTAGTTTAATTAAGTGTCCTACAATATTTGAGAGAAGTACAGCACTTTGATCTGCCAATCGTGGACCCACGATTAACATAACTTCATAAACTTAACAATGGTGTTGCAGGTGAAATATAATGTGGATGACATTGAATAAATCTTTTTTTGTCAGGTTTGATACTGATTTTTGTTCACTCAAACCCTTTATCTACACCTCTCTACTTAATCGTTAGTCTTGCACTTTCGCCATGTTTGTTTGTCCAATGCACAATGGGTTGTGGGCAATATCTTCTTCCAGCTCGAAGAAGAGTGATAGCATCACCCCAATTCTAAAATCCCTTCAATGGCTACCAATCAGATTTCGGATCGATTTTAAGATCTTAATATTCATTTTTAAAATTTTAAATGATCTGGCACCCTCTTACCTTTCTGATCTTATAGACGCTTTCAGCAGTGACAACATAAACGGTACTGCATTAATCTGGCCCAAACTTAACTTCCGGCAGACTTGCAGAGACAATCCATAACAAGTAAATAACCTAGTAGCTGGTATTTCTTGCCAGTCAAAGAAAATAAATGTTACCTGGACAAACTGAAATGTGACACTACCAGACCCATTGAACAAAAATTGGAGACAAGATGTTTTTCTACCGACGTGTCTGATAGAAAAACATAGATAGAGCGCTGTCTGATAGAGCGCTGATATTGTGGTGGGCTGCCACTAATAAATGTGTGGGAAACACTGTTTTAAACTCTTCAAACACCTGATTCAAATCATCAGTCATTAGTAGAGACCAACAAAATGTGCACTGTTGGTATGCCTCCAGGAACAGGCTTGGGATATACTAGACATGTTTAAAGACCCAGACACACCAAATGACATCAATGAACATCTAAGAACTGTGATGTCACCTCTGGGCCAAAAAGTTGTAAAAGCTGCAAAGACTACAGCCAATGGCCAACTTGCTTGTATGTTCTGTGCCTACGCGAGAGGAAATAACTCTTAATACCAGCAGATTGCAGGAGTCTATTCATTACTCAAAGGAAGAGGAACCAACAAGAGGACTGTAAACAAAGCAGCGCTTTCTTACCACTTTCACACCAATCTCAGATGAGATGAGCACTCAGAGTAGCCTGGATGCCAGCCCAAACTCCGCCCACAACATTTTTTAGGTCAGGAAGTTCGGTCTGGACTCGATCCATAGAGGAGAAATTATGATCAGTCAAAAAATGATCGGGGCAATCAAATTGCCAGGGCGGGCTTTATACGATGATGGACAGGTGATCTAAAATTGTGAAATAAATCGACAGCGCATTAATTTTAATAGACCAACAGAAAACTGCAATCAAGGCATTTGTCTATCGGAAAGATATTTTTGCCGTCCTTCTAACATGATTCGGCAAAAGTGTAACTTATCAGCTGGCTCTGACAGTCGCTAAGTTAGGAAGATGGGACGTAATGAAAAGCCTGTGGTCGTTGTGGTTTTTCCTTTGGTCGCACTCATGGAGGACCAAGTAAAAGAAGCAACACTCGTTATTTTACTTTTAAATCTAAAAAGTAAGTTCTGTAGTTGACAACTGTGATATGCAAAGTAGTTGACTTACTGCGTTGCTCTGATTGGTTGTAGGTCTACCAACTATCCAATTGAGTGCAGAGTTGTTGTTTTTTTCCTGGTTCGGTTAAGACACGCCTCATAATCAAAGCCCTACGGAGGAGTTTCAGACTCAGAGTATGATAAAGTCAGGCTACACTCGGAGTACTGTTTGTGCCCTCTTGACTTTGTTGTTCACTTTCGCTTTTCTTGTGTACTGGTTCGTGGAGCTGACCAGTCAATCTGAGTGAACTCTCTCACCAATCACTCTGATTCAACATGCTCAATTGGCTGAAAAGCTGCGGGGATCGACTAGACCGACAGACACTCATGATGGCCCAACATTGGTCGTCCGTCGGTTTAGTGTGTCACAGGCTTGTGTATTCCTATAAGTCTTCTGAAGTTGTATGATAGCTCACTGGAGGGGTCTGTTCTGTTAACTGGTGCAAATGGATCACTCTTGAGTCAGTTGTCTTCAATGAACTGGTTAATCTGGTTCATACATTTTCAATATCAGACTGATTTGTTGAAAATTGCGCGTTCCGCGGTGACTAATATTATGACCCCTTTAATATCTTATTCTAAGGCTCAATCCCAATTCACCCCTTGGCCCTAGCCCTCCGTTTTTCGCGTTCATCCCGAATCCCGATTCTTGTTGAGATCAAGGGGTAGGGCTACATAGCCCTCGAAACGGAGATTTTTCAGAGGCACACTCCAAACGGTGGGCTACGAGAAAGTTCACGCATTGCATCGCAAATCACCGGCGAGATGGCTTCGCAAACGGTTAAACATTTAAATTTAGCGCCAGATATCACCACGCACTTTATTTACTCTTATAATAACACTGTAGTCGTTTAAATTAAGAAATGGTATAATAAATTACCTTTCCCATCAGAAAAGACATACATTTCGAGGAAGGGATGTTATAATCATCATGTTTATTCAAAGTTAAGAGCAGCTGCGCTGATTGTCAGTCGTTGTCATGGAGAAATCCTGTAAAAACTCTGTAACGGCAGAGCCATCGCCGACGACTGATGATGTATCGGGTTCATGAAGGGTTCTTCCATTTCGTAGGGGAATATTTCAACCCCTTGGCCCTCTAACTCTGTTTTAAGGGCCAAGGGGTACACTCAAAAACAAGGGGTAGGGCCAAGGGGTGAATTGGGATTCAGCCTTATTATCTATGCTTAATATCCCCCCTCCCCCTTCCACATTCAACCTCTTTGCTCTGTTTGCTTGCTTGATCAGTATGGCTGTTAATAGATTCAAATATTTCTTTTCAATTAATCTCAGCTTTCTTGTAGTTCACATGTGATCACATTCAGTTCCTTTTTAAAATAAAATTCAAAACATGTTGTTATTGTGTTTGGTAGTTATGGCATACAATGAGGAATAGTAACAGTTTTCCCAGTCTGTGTGTGTGGTATTAATCTTTTCTAACATGCTCTGAAGCCCTGCTCCGTAATGTTTGCATAAATGTTTTGAGTGAGTAACTGAAGGTGATGGATGTGATTATTACAATCCCACTGGTGTAATAAGTCCCTAATACCTGACAGTTATCAATGAGGCGGCTTTCACACTGGGTTACGTTCGCTGCAGTCCGTGCGCGATTGTTCCCGGCCCTGCAACGTTCGTTCACACTCAACTTGACTCTGGTGTATTTACATGCACCGAATGTCTTCGTAAACATGCACGGTGCATCACGGAAGACAGGACGTGGGTCAATAAATATTTTTTTTATTAACTTTGTCCTATTATGCGCAGCAGAGTGAACGACACTTCACTGCAAACATACTCTTTTAAGGAGACATTGGATTGCGAGTCATTCATTTGCCGCTCAGATTGCTCTCGCTCTGCACAATGGCACTGCACTCTCACTCGTTCTTGTATACCAAGATAAATCATCACCACTGTCATCCCTCAAAATTGTTTTGTTGAACTAAAATGCATGCGTGCTGGTTACTTTAATTCCTGAACAAGTGTGCACTCGAGTCCGAGTTGCTTTCACGTTAGCATGAATCGCACCACAGTTCGCGTGCAACTAAACTCAGACCACCGCCTTCGGGTAGCCTCGGGTTCGCTACCCCGGGTCCGCACATAATCAAATTTTTCATGCGAACCGTGCTCCATTTTCAACTAAACTGCCAGTGTGAAAGCACCATAAGTCACATCTGTGTCGGTGACTGCGACTTTTTTGACGACCTGCTTATATCGTCTTTTAAAAGTGACCCAAATCCGATTTTTGCATTTACACTATACACTGCTGAAACTACCAAATGCAGACTTCCTGACCTGGGAAATTAAGCAAAACAGCACGAAATTCAATGGATGCAGATGCGAATAAAATCATCCAGTGTTTTTCTTTCCACAATATTTCAATGTGTCATCAAAACATTGGTCTCGTACGGCGGAGAAAAAAGAGGAGAGGCTCTAGCCACCAGCACTTAAAACGATGCCTCATATCTCATGAAATGTCTTCAAATACAGCTTTATTTCTGAACGACCCTGCATTTTTGCCTGCACTCTTCACCCCAAACACTCAAAAGACATAACCTCCGCATTGCTCCACTGTGTGTATCCTTTCCTCCATCGCGCACTTTTTAATGACGTACGACTCGCATTACCGAGGAATATCCGATTTGTCTGCTTCCATGGCACACGCAAATGCACGTATCCCATTCATATCTGATTTATTACTACATATGAATGAGGCCTGAATCTGATCTGAGAAAATCAGAATCCATGCGTTTTTTTTCCTGCTTACACATTCACCGGTCATATCCAATCTGTGCCACATGAGAGGAAAAAATCGGATTTGGGTCACTTGAACCATGCAGTGTAAACGAGGCCTTAAACATCAAGAAAAGAGCAAAGGGACGTCCCGATCAAGTTTTTTGGGCCATTGAATTTTGGATATCTGCTGATATGAAGTCCTGATCGGATACTTGTATATTCATAGTGCACAAACACTTGAAGTACATTTAAAGTTCTTAAAGTCAATCCAATGTAGATGGGGATGTAATTCCAATAAAACAATTACTAACTACGCTAATTATATTTATAGTCCTGTGTGTGTGTCTCTTTCTAGTTTTGGTGATATCTTTGTTGGTGGAGGGAGAGAGAATAGCAGAATACGCAGTCAGAAAGAAGTGATGGTGTTAAAAGAGTAACAAAAAAGTGTTAAACATTTTTAATTTTTAATGTGTTAACATTAATTTTGACAGCCCTATTGTTAGGTAATTGTAATCACTCAAACTTTCAAATATTAAATGTCTACTTGCCCGAGTAATGCTTGGATACCCTGTTCAGTATGGCATTGAATGATGGACAAAACAGTGCAAGGGCATGAACAGTTTAAGTTAGCTACAGCAGTGTGAGCACAGTGCCAAAAGCTTGCACGTAAAACGTAAACCTGCAGAAATCGCAAAGCCCAAACTTAAAAAAGTGCACAAATCTTGAGAAATGACAAAACCGTGAGTCCTGACAGGTCTCGCACACGCAGAACTGACCATGTGCGAGTTGTTCTGTACACAAGCATGAAGATCTGAACACACAGGCAAGATGAAAACTTTACACACACCAGCCAGTTGTGGCCATTGGCCATTTGTGTGGCTGCTTGTATTACTTTAACAATGTTCTTCTGTCATGATTGGTTGTTGTTGGCCCTCGAAAAAAGACACTCAAACCAGGCTTAGTTGGGAATGGGATGGCAGACAGTAAAGTTTTCTTTCTAAGTTCATACGCCTTAGTAACTGTAAGATTGGAGCAAGTGGCTCACTACGGAAGCCCAAAGAGGCTATGCATTACTTTTTCTTTCTTGTTTTCTCTTGATCTTGACTTCATTTTCTAATTTTCTTCTCTCGCTATGCAATTTTAACTTAAGTTGCTTTGATATTGGACATTTGTTAAACATTTACTTTTTTTTCAACATTTAACAATGTGTGAACACAAAAAAGTGACTGTTCATTCAGATCATGAAATACAGCCCCATCTGAGCCCAAACACCATAACCAACTAAACACTGTAATAAATAAATAATTTAATATTCTTGTAGAAATTATAATCTACTGTACTGGAGCGTTGAAATACTACACAGAACATATCGTCATTATTTAGACCAATAAAACAAATAAATGGAACATTTTTGGGATGCTGGTGTCAGGTTAAGTGAAAATGTTTATTTTTTCATTAATAGCACAGCAATATATAACTGTCTTTTTAGAAATCTTGAAATACTTATATTCTACAAAAAGCTTATCAAATTGTATCAATATTTAAATGGACTGCAATATAATTGTCATGTCTGGCAATTTGAAGAATGTTTTATTGGGGTCTGTAAAAGTTAAAGTCCCCTGTAGTCAATCATTTTATTCCTTAACTCATCTTTGATCTCCAAAATGACTTTAAAAAATTTTTTCCTTGAAAGAATTTCTTCATGCCTCATTAAGTATACACGGTTCTATGTCTCTGTCTTTGGTTCACTGCAGTTTTAAGGAGAAAATACTCAGCAGTGGTGTTAACTTTTGAATTTGCACACGGTTTGTCTTCTTAAATCATGTTAAAAACACCACAGACATATAAACAACATTAAAAACTTAATTTTCACCACAGCGAGACTAAATAAACATTTAACAATCTATAAACCTTTTACACTACTTCACAGTTTTATATAATTATTTTAAAGGGATACTCCACTTTTTTTGGAAAAAGGCTCATTTTACCACTCCCCCAGAGTTAAACAGTCGAGTTTTACCGTTTTCGAATGTATTCAGCCGTTGTTTTGATATTTAGAAGAATATCAGTAACCAGACAGTTTCTGGTCTCATTGACTTCCATAGTATATTTTTTTCCTACAATGGAAGTCAATGAGACCAGAAACTGTCTGGTTACTGATATTCTTCTAAATATCAGAAAATCGGCTGAATGGATTAAAACTCAACTGTTTAACTCATTAAGTGGTAAAATGAGCCTATTTCCAAAAAACAAAGTGGAGTATCCCTTTAATGAATTTCTATTCAAAGAGATGGAAACTGATAGAAAAACACAAAGGCTTAAAAGATGCCTTATCATGTGGTACATTAATACCACAACTTTCATCTTTCATTTGAAATAGCTGACTGTTTATAATTTGCTTTTAGCCTCCCCGAGCATCATACATCAGCATGTCTGTCTCCAATGCACAAAGAATCTTACAGCTAAGAAATGTGAACTCTGAAAGAAAACGTATCCCTTTAACACAATACAATCAGCAAAGTTGAGAAAACTCTAGATTTTTGCAATTGCGATTTATGCAGGTTTACATTTTACATGTGATCTTTGTCACTGTGCTCACGATTCTGATTATATTATGATCATGCCCTGTTTTGTCCATTTAAAGCCATAATGTAGACACAAAGGAGGCTCTTACAATCGATATGAATAGTACAGCTGTAGTTCCGTCTTATTGAAAAGATAAATAGTTTTAGACAAGTCATGATTGCTTGTTTGTTTACTGATCAAGCTGTTATCACTGCAGAGGTGATGCTGACCATTGAAGAGGGTGATGTGGATGAAATGACTAAGAAAAGAGTCTACGAGATCAAGGAGAAACCTGGAGCTCTCTGGCACATCTACGCCGCTAAAGACGCCGAAAAAATCCGCGAGCTCCTGCGAAAGGTGAAAGAATGTCATTTGTTTGAGGTTATTGCTTTTAAAGTATTAGTTTACCCAAAAAAGAAGACCCTCATGTGGTTCCAAACCCAAATGCCTTGAGGACATTTTTAATGTCAATGTCACATTTGGGCAATGTTCTCTGCTTTCTATGTTTTTAATACGGTGTAGTTAATTTCACCTATTAATTGCAGGTTGGAGAAGAACAAGGACAAGAGAACCCACCAGACCACGATCCCATCCATGACCAGAGCTGGTACCTGGACCAGACGCTGCGCCGCAGGCTGTTCGAGGAGTATGGGGTCCAGGGCTGGTCCATTGTGCAGTTTTTGGGAGATGCCGTGTTCATCCCAGCTGGAGCGCCACATCAGGTTAGTTACTGAGATCATGTCCACCAGAGTTCATGCACTTGAAACTAGAGGTGTTGGATATTGACAATTATTTCTCTGTAGTTTTAGGGATTTTGTCGATAGCGATAATTAGACGATTAGCCGAGTGTTTTTTTTTGTGCTGGTTCATTTAACTGACTCCTGAAGTTTTTCATATTCTTTATATTGGTCAGTTCTGCAGTAACAGAAATAAACATTTTCATTGAGGGCAAATTTGTCACCATTTTCTTTTCTAATTAACATGCATTATGCATAATTAGAATACTAAGAAACAAACTACTTGTTGTAAACTAATGTTGTAAGGCCGTGTGTCCACCAAAGTGTTTTTCCACGTGCATTAACAGCGTGTTAATGGCGTTAACACAATCCCATTTTAACGGCGTCAATTTTTTTATTGTGCGTTTAATGTTTTTTTTGGCTTAGCAAACTTTGTGTTTTTTTCACATGCTTTTGCAACATGACACGGAATGTGCGGCACGTCACTCTGAAACCCAAGCACACACACGCGCACACTGATGATGCGAATTCTCCGCCCCCCTCATCAATATCAGGACCTCATCAGTATTTCTTTCACCCTTTTATTGATGGACAGTGTTACATTGTGTGAGAGATTATTTGCTCCAAGTGAAAACGTTAGTGTGAAATTGAACACAGTATTTGACAATGTTGTTTTTAATAAAAAACATTTGCACAAAGCAAGCTGATCCTTTTTTCCATATTGATAAGAGCATTAAAATGAGAAAAATTAATGTGAGAAAAAGAAATCAAGAGATATTTAGAATAGATAAAAATGTGCCATTTAATTGCGATTAATCACGAGTTAACTGTGACATTAATGCGAATAATCGCGATTAAATATTTTAATCGTTTGACAGCACTAGTTTTCAATTGTTTTCAATGGGAGCGCCGCGTTTTTTAAACGCCATGAGCGTAACAAGGCACTGAACGTTTTTTTTTCACGCTGAAGCACTGAGCACCTAGCATTTTTTACTGTTCGCTGAGAGTTCAGTTTTTTCTACTGGACGCTGAGAAAAATGTTCAACTTTGGATAAAACACAGCGCTGTCACTTTATACCCACCCGTCCAATCACAGTGGAGGAGGGGCGGGACTAATACCACACCGACCAACTGTCACAACATTCTTTCTGTACAGAGACATAAACCAATAGAACTAACCAAACATAAATGGATAAAAAATAAATAGTATGAAACAAATGATCTGCGAAATCAGTTACAAGTAAACTGTGCTGCAGATATTTGATATCATAGCAACGAAACGTCTCAACGGAAAAAAAACGCTGCGCTGCCAAAACACTCTCAAGCGCCCAAAGCAACAACGTCTTCAGCAGAGCGTCTGGCGTTTTCAGCTGGAAAAAAAAACGCTTTGGTGGACACACGGCCTTACTGTCACGTGATCTACCAGCATCAGTTACATCACTTCACTGTCAGTGTCCATTACATGCACATTTCAGATGGACATTGGAAGTCGTAGGTCATCCAGGTACTTTTCGACCAACTGTTTGTCTAGATCAACTCCAGGTATCGCACCCCGGACGCGCACTTTCTCATCAGTGTATGGCCAGCAATATTGTAATGCTTAAAGGGTAACTAAACCCCTGGTCAGAGCCTGACTCCACCCACTGGCAATATTTGAAAATGCTGAAAAAGTGGGCAGACCCCAGCGGAGATGGAGGGGATGAAATAGATGCTAAAACACTCTATCCTGATCTTTTTCAATACTCGCGCAATTCCAACTCCTGACGCGCTACAGTGGTTTTGACGAAACAAAGATGGTTTTTATACTGCCAAGGGCGTAGCTCGCGTGGTGAGCTGAAACCTGCGTACGTCACGAAGTGCAGAACAACCAATAAGAAAATTCAACTGCAGTAGCCACCGTTCAACCTGAAGAGGGCAGCACTAAGACGTTTTTACACCATATAGTTACTCGAATCAATGAGTGGTATTAATAAAGATCCATTCTTACAGATCATTAACTAAAAAAAAGTTGGTTTAGTGTTTAGTTGCTCTTTAATGACATGAAATGAAGATAATGTCTGTTCTATGTTATTATTGTACTGTACAATTAAATACAATCGTTGTTGAGTCTGCAGTCAGAAAACTTTACCTCAGAGCATCCGTTAATAACTGAATGAATTGAGAATCTCACCTGAAAAATCCAATAACATCAGCAATTGTCGTTCAAGCAGCTGATTTCTGCAAATGAATGCTAAACTAAATGCAATATTGCTGTATAGGGCAAAGTCAGGATCCATCAGCAATGATTTAAGACAAAAATCATTTAAATTTTGTATAAAACTATGTGGCGCAGCAGGATTTTGAACACGGTCCTGAGCCGTCGCTGGGCGCCGGTGTGAGAATAATGTGTTCGAATTTTAAAAACGCAGCGCTTCTCGTCCAGTGTGCGACCCCCTTAAGACTCTCCTTAGCTGTTCTAAATTCACTGTAAACCACTGCTTCACAGAGGGCTTATTGCTTTATTACGATGCATATGACGCACCTCTACTTGACACATAAACACTCATTTAATTTCCTCATCTTGGTTTTGTCAGGTGCACAATCTGTACAGCTGTATCAAGGTTGCAGAGGACTTTGTTTCTCCTGAGCACGTGAAGCACTGTTTTAGACTGACGCAAGAGTTCCGGCACCTTTCCAACACTCACACTAACCACGAGGACAAGCTACAGGTATGTCTATATGTCCTTCCAAAGCTGATGTGATTTTCTTCTGTGGGGCACGAAATCTAATTTTCAACGTTGTGTTTGTGTTCCCAGGTGAAGAACATCATTTACCATGCTGTGAAGGATGCTGTGGGAACACTAAAGGCCCACGAGCCCAAGATAGGCCGCTCTTAGTTGGAGAGATGTGGGTTTGGATGAGGCCATTGCGCTCGCAAAACAAGCTGTTTATAATGGAACGTCTCTCAGCGTTTTGGTAGGATGAAGATGCCGCTTCATCAGTGTTACAAAAGCATCGTTTAGTTTTACAATCCGTTTCTCTGTATTTAAAAAGTCTGTTTTTTGCTCCGCGTTTAAAATTTGTTGGACTGTTCACAGAGCTGGTGATTATAAGTTGACATGAATCTTTTTAAAGGCCTTCAGCAAGGTTTTTCTATGACTTCTGTGAAACGTGAGCACTGGGTTTCCTTCTTAGAGAACATTCATTCTGTGCTCTTCAATGAAGGAGAGCTTTTAGATAAGATGGGGTCAACAGAAATTAAAATGAGTAAAAGATTCCCACCACCTTGTCCAGGAGAGGTGGAAATGAACATGGAAGGGGACTAGACCAAAGTTTTTTAGTTTTAAGTTTTTTTGTTTTGTTGTTGTTGATGAAAACATGTCCTTCTGATTTTTTTTGTAATATGCCATAGGTAATATTTCACTGACAACAAGAGTTAGACTGGCGTTGACGAACAGTCATTCAAGAATCAACAATTCCAGTTCTGCAGAACTACTGCTCATTAATATGTACCAATATATATATTGATCTTAGCAGTGTGTATGATTTTTTTTTTTCCACAATAAAGATTTACAAGAAAGGATCTGGCCCTGTTGATTGGAAATGACGACGGATTTCTTAGCTAACTATTTGTTAAATGCTTACTATTTTATTTTATAAGACATTTTGTGGTTCATGGATGGCACTGCAATAAACTAAGCTTTTGAAATATTGCCAGTTTACTTTGAAATTTTCTTGATGCACGAGGGAAACTTTAGCTGCATTTAGTGTTCAACAAATAACTTTTGTGCTTTCATAAAGCCTAGCGGTCGCAGGAACGTGGCAACACACAGCCAGTGGCATAATCGCATTTATATTAGTCATAACAAAAAAAACTAATGCACCAGAAGTGTGTGTCTGAGCATTTAGTGTACGCAGTCCCACAAAGAACTGGTCACAGACTCGCTGAATGAAACTTCACTCGACTGTCAGTATTGAGTCTTCCCTTCCCTGTCCTGTAGTGAGACGCACAGAGCTCGAGAAGGAATTGGACAACTTTTGTTTGATATAATCACAACAAATTAACTCAAGTAGGCCTATGGGAATTGAACTCAAGTCTTCTTGATTAAAGCCCAATGCTAACGACGCGCCTGTCTATTTCTCTAGGGGGGTTCGGGGGCATGCTCCCCCGTAAGAAAATGTTGTGTTCTGTAATGTTAAATTCAGCAGTCTGGTGCACTTTGAGAGTTCAAAATTAAAAGCTCCAACCCATATTCAGGGTGCAAAATAAACAGAGAAAAATTTGAACCTCTTTTAGTTAGTGTCTGTCTTTGCATTTACAAAACTAGGTAGGATTAACGCATATTTGTCTTTGACATCTTTGTATGGCTATTTTCGCTGTCCTTTTAGACTCTTTGATAGTGCCATTTTCTCTCACCAGCTTGAATGTTAACGTCACTCTACACACGACATAATAGCGTAGCCTACCTCCAGCAGGCAAACAATAAAAAAAAATGTAGTTTAGTATGCAAGGATGCCAAGGAATAATTATATGTTTAAAAGTAGTCTAAGTCAAATAATTGTGTAACAAGCAAATTAACCCTTTGATGCGCAAGCTATACCCCTTCTAATGCGCAACATGGGTCTAAAAAAGACCCGTATTCATTTCCTGTTATTTCAGTGATGGCTGAGTGTTTTCTTTGCTGAATCTTTAAAATATTTGTATTTTATCATTTGTTATTCCAGGTAGGCTACGACCTATTGGTTTTCATTAAATCGAGAAAATTGAATTTTGTTTTATTTACGATCACTGAGAAATGTTCTATTATTTAAAATGCAAAAAAAATGCATGCATCCACGCCGAAGAAAACGTCTAAATGTCACGTTTTTAATGAAGCAGCCTAATGAGTAAAATGTCTATTTTTCCGGCGTCCAGCTCCTCATTTAAGCAAAAGGTACGCTAAAAACAACGTATTACATCGACGTTAAACCACGTTAACCGTGTTAATCATAACCTTTTAAATACTCGACCTAGTTCCATTGCTTAGCAACGAGAAGAAACTCCTGTAACTTCAGTGCCCAACCCGTATCACGACAAGACGTGAAATAATCACGTTGGTCCACTTTGGAAAACGTGTAGATGTCACGGTTTAGTTTAAACTCAAAACCATAAATAGGGCTATACTGCCCGGTTTAGTTTAAACTCAAAACCATAAATAGGGCTATACTGCCCTCTTGTGTCAAACTATATTTCTATATTTATTTTTCCAACAAATAAAACCAAACCCGCAATAAAAGCCCATCCAGTACACCCTTTAACTCATCTTATTTCAGGTTAGGAAATCATATCGCTAGCATCAACGTTTCTGTCTAACTTTAGCTATTGTAACCGATGTCACTTTTTCATCTCGCGAGCTTATACTGCTTTTAATCTGCGTTTTTTTTTTTATAAAACATACACTTAAAATGGAGAATTACATAGCAGTCATGTGATTTAGTCAGCTTTATTAACATTATTATAATATTAACACAGATGTTATTTGCTAATTACTTAAACTGTAAGCTCAATTCATTAGTATAAATATATATTCAGTATATAATTATATATTTATAAATATATATTGAGTATAACATTTTTAAGTATATATATTTGTATGGTCCTCGAATGTGTTCAAATATTTCACCAGTATCAGCCTTTTCACAATTTGCTTGTCTGTGTTTGCCCAACTTGCATTATTAAGTAAGTCAGTAGGTGGCGTCAAGTGACTGTTTTTAGTAGTGAAGTAGTTTAGTAGTTAACTTTAACTTAACAGATTAGTGCCAAAAAAATTGATGATCTAACCTTAGAAAGAAACAAGTTGCTGAAACCAATCTTTAATGCTAATATATAAATTGCTCATTTTCGTCTGGACACAAAAAGATTGCACTGGTGTTTGATTGAAATTCATCTAGGCTATGCAAAATAATCCTTGAAAGATTTCTCATTAAGGCCATTCCTGTTAGGAATATGGATTGTGTATTGTCAACAATAAGCAGAAACATTCTGCATTTGCATCCAAGCGTGGATCATTCATTTCAACATTTATCCTCATTCTCATATTTAAGAATCTGTCATCTTTTATGCTACTGCCAGTGCCCACTGACATACTTTTAAAGCTATTGTTATACCATTTTTATGACCTTTAAACACCCTAAAATGCACACATGTAGGTCTGAGAAATCCAAATTTTCTCGGGGGAGTATGCCCCCGAACCCCCATAACTTCCTCACCTTTGAATGTGTGTGACTGTGTGGTAATGTGGGCTGGTACAGTGCCAGGGATGCCAGTCTGCCGCTGCATATATGCTTGCAATATGCATTATTCTCTGTATCGAATCATGCTATCTTATTCCCCACCCCAGCCCCTGATGTTTCGGGTTCAGCCCCTGATGTTTTTGAAACCTAGAAACGCCCCTGGAAATAGAGGTCCACCTACTTTTCTTAGGGGAGTTCATCAAGGTGGAGTAGCTATATAGCTTAATTGTATTAACAACAATTTTGCACTTATTTTACAAAGTATCTACTCCAGTAAAAAAAAAAAAAAAAAAAATTCTGAAGGATGACCCACCCACATTTTTTTTTGCTTCCGACGCCCCTGCCACTTACTCCACAGCGGCGGCGACCCGCTAGACTAAAACAGTCCGAAAATAAACACTTATTATAGGTGTACCATGGTGATTCAGGATACTGACTCCAGTACTCACCAATAGGGTTTCGGAATCGGAACAACTGAAAGGAAAGAAGTGTGAGACACAGCTCTGGAGCGTCTCAGTTGATTCACAAAACTACCTAACTGCCCGGGTTCTCTCTGCGTGTGTTTCGCGCTGGATGACGGCCGTGCTGAGCGGTGCAGGTACAAAGAAGTAACTTTAGAAGAAGAGAAATGTTTTCATTTTCATTTTAAACCACAAACTACCGAGTATGTTTTGGCCATTATTTAACCGTGTCAAAGACGAACAAAATTTTTAGAATAACAACATTTCTTGCTCCAAGTTTTAGTGTGCTGAGCTCCTTTTTAGGGGTGCTAACCATGGAATATAAAATTCAATATTAATTCTCGGTATTGCATTGGACTCTATGATCGGCGGAAGTTATCGAGCATCCTTACACCTTCACCGGAAATACCGCCGTGCATAGAGCGCATAAAGCTGGAAGTATGGACGAGCGTTCTGTGTAGGCTGCCATCTTGTGGCGACGCCATTACTGAGCTGTTACACCCATGGTTACACCGGCATAGACATGCCGGACATGTATGTAAACAAACCTCGGGGATAACGCACCCTCGATGACAGCTACAGCCAGGCAGAATGACTTGTTGTGTTTATGATGTTAGACAGTGGCCTCCAGTCACAGATGAAGGTACAAACGATCTTACAGATTATTTATGAAAATAGCTTGGCAAGCTAGCTAGGCTAATGTTTGCTAACGAGGAAGCTATAAAAAGATCTGACCATTTGGCAACAATAAATGAATGAATTAATGAAATCAAATAAATAAATTCATGTTTTTCATTTGTGTCCATTATTTATCTCATTTTCCCATTGCAACGGGCAAGGGTGAGGTAGCGTTACAGCTAGAAAGTATACATAATATCTACCAATTAGTGTTTTTAAACAATGGAAAAAGTCAATATAACAGGAGAACAATTATGTCACATAACGTTACATTTAGCTCAGGAAAGCCATTTAATGATCATATCATGTTAATTGAATAGAAAAAAAAAGCAAGAGAGGAGTTTTTGCGGATCACTATATCACATATTTATTATATTTTTTTTTACTTATGTCATTAAATAATTGTTATTATACGGGAATGTCCGCGTCTTGTATCGCCCGGGAAATGTAAACCGTACGGCACCAGACAGGGGCAGTCGAGCCGGGGTATTCACAATGTTTTCTCTTCAAAATTGAAATTTTACTGCCACCATTGAAACAATTTATAACAGAAACTGTTTACCCACTCGACATTATACAAGGGGTAACGTTGTAACGTTAGTGACAGTGCTAAATCGCGGGCTGTTTATTCCAGTGGACGCAAGTTGCAACTAGATCCAAGATGGCGGCATGAATGGTCTGATGTGTGTTTGTCCCCTCTATCTATACTCATTTATACTCATTTAGTTTGCTTTTTTACCCATATATGGAGTAACTTTTTAGTGGATTCTATGATTGAGCTCTGTTTTTTTTAGATGAAATAGTTTTATTGGATTATGGACTACTTTGCTGCAGAAAAGCTTCCATCTCCAGGCTCTACTTGGATCCTGAGGCCCTGTTAGCCTCTCTAGGCCCTGGCAGCCCAGCTACCATCCCCAGGCTCTGCTTGGATCTTCAGGCCCTGGTACAGGACCTAGCAGCCCAGCTACCATCTCCAGGCTCTGCTTGGATCTTGAGGCCTGGTAGCCTCTCCAGGACCTAGCGGCCCAGCTACCATCCCCAGGCTCTGCTTGGATCTTGAGGCCCTGGCAGCCTCTCCAGGACCTAGCAGGTTCTGCTAGCTTCCCTAGGACATAGCAGCCCAGCTAACATCTCCCTGCTCTGCGTGGATCCTGAGGCCCTGTCAGCTCCTTCGGGTTTTGCTAACATCATCTGCTAACATGGCTCTTCTTTTAATGCTGCTTTGTTCATTGTTTGTGCAAAATCTAAGATCAGGTGATTCAAACTGGGTGAGTACATCTTACAACATTTGTGGCTCTTTG